CAGCAAGGCTGGGGACATCGCAGGCCGAGAGACCCGGGGGTGAAGGTTGAGCTGATGCGCCGCGTACCTCACCGCAAACGGCCACAGAAAATGGGGGGCAGCCGCATGCATCATGGACGTACGAGCGACATCCATGACCATACCAATGCGGCGCTCAGCAATCCCATTTTGCTGTGGTGAGTCCGGAAGCGTGAAGGTCTGGCGGATCCCCCGTGCACGACAGTAGTCCCGCAGAAGGCGAGAAGAGAACTCTCCGCCTCTGTCAGAGTGCAGACGCAGAACAGGAAAGTCCGAGATGAAGCTCTTCCTGAGCTGGAGACGAGCCTCGCGGATCCAGTCGATCAGCACCTCAGTGACCTCACCCTTGCTGCGCAAGGGGAGGACTGTGGTGTAACGCGAGTAGTCGTCAACCACCAACAGGAAGTAGCGCTCGTAACCCTGCCCACGGACGGGGGCTGGGCCCCACACATCCATGTGAAGCGTCTGCAGGGGAGCCTCTGTCGGGGGGAAGTGGGAGGAGTGAGGAGTAGCCCGGAGGCGACCCTCGACACAGGGGACACAGGAAGGTCCTGGCCCGGAGGGGAGAGGAGGGAGAGACTGGGGAAGACCAGAGACAAGGACACGGGAAGCCATGCTCCGAAGACGGGGCAAGGAGGGGTGGCCAAGACGGTGGTGCCACAGGAGAGTCTCGTGAGACAGGAGGCGACAAGAACAGGGGGCAGACTCAGGACCTGACCGGGACGCAGCAGCAAGCACCTGACCCGACGCAGCCACCTGACCAGACGCAGGGACAGGAGGAGACTCAACGGTCAGGGTGTAGAGACTCGACCCCGGCCGACGCGAGAACGTGGCCAGGTGTCGGCCTGTGCGTGCCTCCGTGCAGTGGGTCACCCGCTGACTCGCAGGAGTGAACTGGTGAACCCCCACATCCTGCAGGTCCGCTCCACTCACCAAGTTCGTAGAGAACGAGGGAAGGTACAGACCCGACAGGGTGCCCGAAGGGGCAGCCGGACACGGGAGGACAGTGGAGAAGTGAGACAGGACAGGACCCCCAGAGGGGTCAGCAAGGGAGACCGCAACCGGCCGGCCGAGCGGCGTAAGGGTAGTGCGGTCCCGAAAGAAGGAGCGAGAAGCTCCGCAGTCAAGTGTGAAAGTGAGGGAGGACGAGGACGACGCAGTACCTGAGAGCGCAGTCTCACCAATACCTGAGAGCACAGACGCACTGGCACCTAGAGCAGCAGCCTCACAAGCACCTAGCGCAGCAGTACCAATGCCCGGGTCGGGCTGGAAACAACGGTAACCCTCATTCTCCTCACTATAATCCACAACATACATAGCAGCAAGGATAGCATCAAAATCAAGATCAAAGATCGCTACACCAGCCCTGAGAAGCTCATCCCAGCGAGGGATCTCACTAGCCCCAGGGAACTGCTGACGCCAAGCGTCCGTCAGGCGGCCAAAGCAGCGCTGGGTGGCGTGGGCACCCCCACACTGCTCACCCGCGCGGTCGCCGTAACGAAGAACGTAGGTGCAGGGACCAGTACCCCCACCCCTCTGACGCCCAGCGTACCACTCACGAAGCTGCTGAGGCGGAGGGATGTCCCGCAAGCGCTGCTGCTGCTGCCGCTGCGAGCGCTGGCCACCACCACCGCCGCTACGCTGCTGGGTACCACCTCGACCAGTTCCACCTCCTCCACCACCACCGCCTCCTCCGCTGCTGCCTCCACCGCCTCCACCTCCGCCGCCTCCACCACCGCCGCTGCCTCCACCACCACCGCTGGCACCACCACCACCGTCTCCACCACTGCTGCCACCACCACCACCACCTCCACCACTAGTCCCGCCGCCACCCCCACTCCCTCCGCCGCCACCGCCGCCACCGCCACCGCCCCCTCCAGCTCCACCCGCGCCCTTGCCCCCCTTGCCCTTGCTGGAGCGACGTCTCCCACTAGGGGCAGACGCCGCGCCGACCGACTCAAGACCAAGCAGGTCGGCAGCAGCAGCAGAGGCAACAGAGGGCAGCAAGGGGGAAGGAGAGCACCCCTCAAAGATGGGGGTGCGAGGGTCACCACGAGAAGCACCTACAGCGACTATGCTCTTCTCCGCTGCGAGGAGGGCCTTCTCGAGGAGGTCGACGGTGAGGGTGGTGGGACAGACTGCGAGAAAGTGGTCCCTGACGACGCGAAGGGAGTCAGGGAGGCGCGCGACTACGTAGTAGAGAGCGATGTACATGGGGGGGGGGGTTCTTAGCGCAGAACTCAGCAGGAAGGGCGGCGCGGTAGCGAGTGTCACTGGTGCGGAGGTGCGTAATGAGGTCAGCAACAGTGGGAAAGGCAGAGAGGTCAGGAAAGAGGTAGGGAAGCATGAGACGGCTCAGTGCAGCAGTGGCAGGGGAGGAGTAGCGCGCAACTACAGCGTCGTACAAGGTCTGAGCACTCTTGTACTGACTAAAGTGCGCACGCTCAGAGGTAGGGAGGTGACGACGCACAGCAAGACGTGCAGCAGCATCGCGGGTGGCCCACTTAGAGCGGACAGCGGGATCAGCATCAGCAGCAGGAGCAGGAGAGGCGCCAGAGGTGAGGTCAAATAGAGAAAGGTCGTCAGCCCTGTCGCACTGTAAGAACAGCTGCAGGTCGTCTAACCAGACCTCAAAATCAATGGCGCGACCCTCAGCGTCAAAAGCTAGGACACTAGGGGTAGCCATGGCGACAACAGCGACGCAGTGCAAGCAGTAGGGAAAGAGCTCGCAGTGTTAGTGGGACAGTGCTCACCAGGCAGGGCAGGTCGTGCAGCTATGCAGAAAGGCGGCTCAGCGACCGGGCAGCTCGGGTGCACAGCAGCTCGGCTCCCGGGCGGTTCGGCGGCTGGGCGGCTCGGGCGCAGGGCGGCTCGGCTCCCGGGCGGCTCAGGTGCAGGGCGGCTCGGCTCCCGGGCGGCTCGGCGGCAGGGCGGCTCGGGTCCCGGGCGGCTCGGCGTTGGGCGGCTCGGCTCCCGGGCGGTTCGGCTGCTGGGGCGGCTCGGCCGGGAGATGCAGGGGCGGGGCCGTCAGGTGCAGCGGCGGGTCGACCGGTGCAGTGGCGGGCCGGCAGGTGCAGCGGCGGGCCGGCAGGTGCAGCGGCGGGCCGGCAGGTCCAGCGGCGGGCCGGCAGGTTAGGCGGCGGGCCGGCAGGAGCAGCGGCGGGCCGTAGGGTGCAGCGGCGGGGCCGTCAGAGGCGGCGGCGGGGCCGCGGCAGTAGAGGCGGGGCCGCGTCAGGGGAGGCGGCGGGGCCGCGTCAGGGGAGGCGGCGGGGCCGCGTCATGGGAGGCGGCGGGGCCGCGTCAGGGGAGGCGGCGGGGCCGCGTCAGGGGAGGCGGCGGGGCCGCTTCAAGTAGGCGGCGGGGCCGCGATCAGGAGAGGTGGCGGGGCCGCGTCTGAGGGACAGCGGGGCCGCGAGGGAAAAGGCGACCCGAGGGGTCGCTAAAAAAAAAGGCGCGCCTCGGGGCGCGCTTCGGTGGGCCCTAAAAAAACGGTCCTAAGGCAGGACCCGCTCTATACCATGTGAAGCAAGGAAAACAGGAATGAAATGACTAAGGAAAGATTGGGTACAAATACAACCCTAGAAACCCTGTACCCCATATGTGCTACCCCACTATAGCCTACAAACATGCATCAGCTATAATACTCTGACAGCACGGCGGGCAGAAAATCGCCGCGCGCCCCGAGCGCACGGCGGAAAGAAAAACCGCAAAAAAAAATCGCCCTGAGCACACGGCAGGAAGGAGGAGTCGCACGCCACGGGGCGTGCAACAGACAGAGTAGCAGCGGAAGCAGTTAGGTGGGCCTACAGGCCAGGAGCGTAGATGCTCTGATAGCATGTTAGAATCGTGAGTAGAGTAAGGAGCCATAGCTAGGGTTTAGCTAGCTAGGCAGGAGAGAAAAGAACAAAGGAGGGTTTCACTAGCAGCAGTTGGGATACATATAGCAAACCTGAACAGGGTTGTACTCGCTATAGAGCACTCCACTACAGGCTAGATAATAACATTCTGACATTGGAGGGCTGGAAACTTGGCTGGAAAGTCTTAGCAGGGCTGCTGGAATTGACTGGATGAGGTAAAACTTCACTACGTTCAAGATTAACAAGCCCACTAAAGCACAACTTGTCAGAATGTTATCTTTGTTCTCTAGCCTGCAGTGGGGTACTCTTTAGCGAGTACAACCCCTTAGGGTTTCCTACATATATCCAGTTGCTTGCTAGTGCAACCCCTCTCTTTTCCTTAAATCGTTTCTTGCCTAGCTAGGGCTTTCCTAGCCATGGCTCTTTCTCCTACTACTATTTTCACACAACTCTATAGGCATCACAAACAAGACAGATTGAAAGCTCAAACTAAGCTGATAGACAATGTAACTTCCCTGGTAACTTGGGCACAATCTAGATTGGATGGACCTTGAGTGACTTTGAGTGCCACATGAGGTGCATGAATAAGAAAACTCTGGATATTTCTGTTATAGCTGATTCTGATGTGTAGAAACCTGTAGAAACTGCTAACACTTCGGTTTGAAGGCAGCTTTGAACTGTATCGAGTCTTCGGCTGAAATCTGATTGGTGGTGGAACTTTCGAAGTACTTCCCGAAGCCTCTGATTCATCGCCGACTTCCCCCTTGCTGCTGCTTGTGTGCAAAGGGATGGGGCGGCAGAAACTCGATTCTCCAACACCCGCCTCACTCGAGCGCAGAACATTCGAGCTCTCGTCATTTGCGCCAGCCCGTCGCTCGCGTCATACTCGCTCTTGCCCGTCGCCGTACTTTCCCCTGCCGCCCCTCGCTTCGTGTCCCCATCGCCCTCACTTCCCCTGCCTCGTCGGTCTCGGTTCCCTTTTTCTGCTTCCCCCTCGTCGCGCTCACCCATATCCCATCAAACGAGATAACGAGGTGAGGATAATCCACGCCGGTAGCGCGAACTGATACGAGTCAAAGGCCCTACTGCCTTCCAGCAGTCGCGGCAGCGCGTACAGCAGCGGCCATGGTGCGCAAGGTGGTGCACGGGCGCGTCGAGCCGCTCGCCGCCGTCGTCTCCCCGCAGCAGGCGGCGGCAGCGGCGGCGCGCATATCGCGGTCGCTGGAGGAGGAGCGCGGCAACGCGGACCGCCTGAGGCGATACAAGCAGGAGAACACGGAGCTCTGCACGCTCGTGCGCTCGCTACCCGACAAAACAAGCCATCCAGTCATGGTGCGTGTGTGGCAGGAACCCATGCTCAATGTACGAGCCACGTGTCCCAGGCCCCATGCCCTAGCCATTTGACAAAACGAGGGATTATCGCAGTGGTGCGAATTTCATCCTTGGCGTCAGTCCGCCGTAGCACCTATGATCGTTTGCCCTTGGTCCCATTGCCACTCCCCTGGTCCCGTTGCCACTCCCCTGGTCCCGTTGCCACTCCCCTGGTCCCGTTGCCACTCCCCTGGTCCCGTTGCCACTCCCCTGGTCCCGTTGCCACTCCCCTGGTCCCGTTGCCACTCCCCTGGTCCCGTTGCCACTCCCCTGGTCCCGTTGCCACTCCTTGTTGTGCCGCACTCTCTCAGGTGCCATTCGGCCCTGCCGCCTTCTTCCCTGGTCGTCGGGTGCACACACACCACCTCACCCTCCTGCTGGGCCACGGTCTATATGTCAAGCCATCTACCTGCCACACACGGTGTGCTGTGCTCTTCTCCTCCCACCAGGTGCCATTTGGACGGGCCGCCTTCTTCCCTGGTCGCCTCGTACACACCAACGAGTTGACTCTCTTGCTGGGGGACGGGCTGTACGCTGAGAGGTCTGCCTCCCAGGCGCTGGGGGTGCTGCGGCGACGTGGCGCGATGATAGAGCGCCAGCTGGAGGGGTGCCAGGCGAAGGTAGAAGACCTACGTGGCGAGCTGCAATTCGCCGAGCAGGCTGGGGTAGATGCAGAGGTGAGTACGGGCCAGGAAGGAGAAGCTTCTGTGAGTGTGAGGAGAGGGTAGGAAGGAGGGGTTGGAGAATGGTGATGGGGTGGAGGAAGGGGGGGAGATGGAGGAGGGGGAGGGGTTTAATGAGGGGGATGGTGGGTGGGGTTGGGTAAGCAAGTGGTAAAGTGGGGTTGTGTAAGAAGCAACGAGGCAGCTAGGTGGTGTTATGTGGTCACTGGAAAAAAACACGCTTGGAGGCAAAACTCTTTACAAACATAAAACTGCAAAACGCCTGGGAAAGCTCTTCAGGGCGGACCGGGCAAAGGCTCAAGCATTCACAACCCAGCTTTTTATGCAGAAGCACACGTCACTGAAGAAATATACGCTTTCCTGAGCGCTAGAAAAGCGCGACACGTTGGCGAATGCAAAGGGCCGAATCAAAACTTTGATGAGCAAGCACATGCGAATAGTACGACAAAATGGATGTACGCTTCTAATGCCTGAGGTGTCGAGTTTGAATTGTACCTCTCGCTGACCACCAATTGTACCTCCATTCACGCTGGATGTATCGTAATGACACACCTCATCTCGCCCCATTCTGCACTTTTTGTTGTCACGGCCATTGCACCCCCCAAACGCGTCCCCACTGCTTTCCGTCATACCTTCCAATATCCACCTGTTCTCCTTGTCGCCTTTGCTTCCTCTCTCTTCACACGCTCTTCTCTCTCACACTGGGAACACAACAGGAGGGGTGTGTGGAGATACACGAGTATGAGGAGGAGGTGGAGGGGGGCGAGGAGGAGGGAGGACAGACTCAGGGAGTGTTGAAAGCAGATGAAGGAGCACGACGAGGAGAGGATAACGTAGGAGGTAGTTCAAAGGGAAGGGCAGCAGCGGGGGTTGTGAGCAACGTGGTTGGAGTGTCTAGAGAAGCGGATGGTGGGAATGGTGGTGGGGAGGAGGAGGAGCGGCGCATTGAAGCTCTGTTTGCCGAGATGGAAGCGGCAGAGGCGGCGGCTGCTGCTGCTGCTGGGGATGATGATGATGAGGAGGAGGAGGAAAGTGAAGAGGAAGAAGAGGAGGAAGACGAGGACGAGGAGGATGGGGATGAGAAAGGTTGGGAAGAGGAGGGAGAGGAAGACGAGGAAGATTGGGAGGAAGAAGAGGAAGAGGAGGATGGGGATGAAGAGAGGGGGGAACACGAGAGAAGGGCAGAAGCACAGAGCGAGCAGGAGCTAGTGGAGGGCATGTTAGCAGTGGGAATAGATGCAGGGGGGGAGCAGCAGGGGCAGGTAGTGGTGGGAATAAGAGGGGCAGCAGGGCAGGGAACCCCCTCACAGAAGCTGGAGGACATGTCAGCAATGAGGATAGGTGCAGTGGGACGGCAGTAGGGGCAGGCGGTGGAGGGAGCTAATGTAGCAGCATATCAGGGAGTTTCCCCCTCACAGGCGAAGCAGAGGGAGGTGGGCCCATCAGCCAGTCAGCTCAAGGTGAGGCGGAGATGAGTTAGCCTGTACCGATGAATGCCTCTTCTGATCCGATAACCTATTTTTTTACTGGCAGCTGATGTCATGTTAGCCCATAATGCAGTAACGGGTCACAGCAAAAAGGTGCACACGTCTCAATCTTCCCTGAACCGTAAATGTCAGGTATTGAAATTGACCAGAGTCCCTGGCAAATAGGAAATGTATTTCGTGTTGAGGTTTTTCGGTTGAATAGTTGGCTGTGTCGCCAGGTGTATGAATGAGGTGCCGTGGGAGGGGAACACGGGGGAGGCATCAGACAGAGTGAGTGAGACAGAGGAGCAGCCCCTGACCTTACCTGTTGCTGAGACAGAGGAGGGGGAGGGAAAGATTTTTGTGAGATGTGGGCCATGCCCTCGTGTGGGCATGCCCTGACCTTACCTGGTGCTGAGAAGTATGTTTGCAAGTCAGCTTGAGGCCAGGTAGAAAAATGCGTGTAGCTCATCCTGTCACATACCTGCTTTGAGGCACATCAAAACTCAAACTTCTTGAGAAGCATCCACAGCGTTCACTTCACATCCATGTTTCCCGGTTGCTCTGCCAACCCGTTCCATTGGCTTTTCTACGGCACCCTACTCCTCTTGCCCCTCCTGTTGTGTTGTGTGCGGTGCCCAATGCAACAGGCGTTTTCAGGAGCTGTTGTGGAGCGAACGTCCAACTCCTCTTCCCCTCCTCCACTCCCTGTTGTGCCACCGGTAATACACTCGCCCTCCACTTGCCTCCCCAGCGAATGTTCAGTTATGCCTGTCAAAATAGTAGGTATAGTGAGGAGCCATAGCTAGGGTTTACCTAGCTAGGCAAGAGAGAGTTAGGCAAAAGAGGGGTGTGCACTAGCAAGAATGAGGATACAAATAGCAAACCCTAGAAGGGTTGTACTCGCTATAGAGCACCCCACTACAGGCTAGAGCATAATATTCTGACACACCCCCATAGCCAAAGTGGGGTGTAATCAGTAGAGCAAGCAAAGCAAAACAAGCTCAGGGTGGATCACAATGTCACCACACATTCTGAGCACAAGTTCAAGAAGCAACAGTTTAAAGTTCACAAATGTAAGCAAAGCTAGAGGCTATCGCAGAGGGAAAGTGAGGAGGAGGAGGCGAGACTGTAAGAGGAGAGGAGATAGGAGGCGACGACTGAAGCTGCAGACACACGGGCAACAGGAGGCACACTAGCACAGCGGCTACCGGACGAAGTCCCCGGAATACAGGAGTAACAGGCCCCGCGGCTAAAGTAGCGGCAGACGAGCAACGGACCCACGGGCGGCTGGCATAGCTGGCTACGACTGGGCTACCGGACGAAGTCCCCGGAATACAGGTGCTGCTGGCGACACGACGGCAACCTCCATTCAACTTCCCCAAACTATCCCACTCCCCCTGGCACACACCCGCTGCTACACCGCTAGCTCCACTCCCACGCACCCCCCTTGCACCACTCCTTCGGCTCCCACACACCCACCCCCCTCAGCGGCAGCTGCAGTAGTGGGAGACGGAGGAGGAGGAGGAGCAGGTGACGGCTCACACACCCGCCACCCCCATTCCCGTCACCCCCATACCCTGAGTGTGCAGTAAGCGACCTCAGGTGTGCGCGAATAGTGCACAAGTGTGCGGGAAGCGAACTCGGATGTGCGGTAATCGAACTCAGGTGTGCGGGGAGGGGGGGGGCCGCAGGGCGACGCACGGGTCGACGGGGACGAGCGCACAGGTCCCCGGGGGCAGCGCGCGGGTCGACGGGGCCGCCGCGAAGGGCGACGGGGATCCGCGCGCGGGTTGACGGGGCCGCCGCGAAGGTCGACGGGTAGCCGCGGGCGGGTCGACGGGGCCGCCGCGAAGGGCGACGGGGCCGCCTCGTAGGGCGACGGGGAGCCGCGCGAAGGTCGACGTGGACGGGCGCGCGGGTTGACGGAAACCGCCACGCGTCCCGAGCGCATGGCGGGCAGAAAACCGCCACGCGCCCCGAGCGCGTGGCGGGAAGAAAAAAATGTACATCGCACGCCACGGGGCGCGCGACAGACAGTAGGGCAGCGGAAGCAGGCGGGCCCACAGGCCAGGAGCGACACTGCTCTGATAGCATGTCAAAATAGTAGGTATAGTGAGGAGCCATAGCTAGGGTTTACCTAGCTAGGCAAGAGAGAGTTAGGCAAAAGAGGGGTGTGCACTAGCAAGAATGAGGATACAAATAGCAAACCCTAGAAGGGTTGTACTCGCTATAGAGCACCCCACTACAGGCTAGAGCATAATATTCTGACAATGCCCTGCTACCCTTTCCCCATTTTCTCCCTTTCCCAGAAATCCCTCTTGTCTTTGCGTGCTGCTGCTGCTACTGCCGTCGCCGCCGCCGCTGCTGCTAGAGGGCTCACATTGTTGTTACAAAGCTTACCATTAGATGTTACATGACCATCCTTGCACTGTATGAAGAAGGGTACTGCGACATGGTTTGGTGAACAATCATTGGTCACTTCATTCTCTCAACCTGCTCCATTTTCTCACTCTCATGTTCTCCCCGAGCCCCACATCCCCCCAGGCACCAGCACCAGCAAGGCCTCTGTCACGATTCAAGCAGCGCCGGGCAGGTCAACCGTGACACAACTCGCATTTGAGCCTGTTCTGCTCCTTTCCAGCAACCCCCGTTACTCCTCATCTTCCGTTTCTTTCTCACTACCGTATGTCAGCTTCGTGTTTGCGATCAGATCTGCTTGATTGTATGGTCATACAGTGCAGTGCAGCTTCATCCGTTTCATGCATGAAAGCATGCCATTCCAAAGTTGCCACAATTGCAACATCATTGTTTGCGAAACATGCACCTTCCTTGCAAGCAGAATGATTGGTTCCAGGGCCTCAGATTCGTTTTGAGGTTGGCTGATAGATAAATGTTACTATACAAAAAAGGCTGAAAAAACAGTGCCACTGAAAAAAAAAAAAAAAGTCGGACTTCTGGTTCTGGGGGCGTGGCTGAATGGTAGAAGTTTGACGAGAAGAAAATAAGGTTTTGCTATGGAGGGAAGAGAACAAGTACGGTAATACCCCGGATATAAGCGCACCTGCGCTTATAATAAAACATTGTTTTTTGGGGGGGGGGCGCTTATAATTGAGTCAGATTTATAAGCGCATGCACTTGTATAAAGGATAAAATGAAAATCAATTTTAAACACACCATTGTGAAGCTCTCAATAAGGCGAATTCAACCGACCATGCACCAAGTGGGATCGTGCATGGTTTTCAGGCAGAAACCGCAGCGGTTCGGTTTCCCACCGCACAATGATGTCTGGAAACATCGAATGTGACAGCCGTGACGACGATGTTGCGTTGCGGCCCAATCAGAGCCGCATGCGCTGGGTGGCATTTGCATTTGGGCAGAACCATCTCAAAGGTTCGGCAAGATTCCCTGCCAGCGCAGCGTAGATGCTACCACGCAGGCGCCTCTACGGGAGTAGGCGGGGGTTTCCTGCCTGTCATCGACGAGGAACCCGAGCCGTCACACAGCAGGGGTCACCGTCGTTGCCCATTTCTTCACCCTCTTCTCTGATGTTTTTCATTCAGTTTCTTGTCAACCCCACCTGGCAGGCGAAGCCATGGCGGAATTTAGTGGGACGAGCATCCTCTTCAAGAAAAAGTCACGCCGCACATGGCGACTTACCGAAGACGGGTGGTATACCCGTGAGCCACCCGTGCCACCAGTGCCACCAGATCCCCCTGCACCCCCTGCACCCTCTGCTCCTCCTGCTCCTCCTGCACCTCCTGCTCCTCCTGCGCCTCCTGCTCCTCCTGCTCCTCCCGCACCTCCCGCTCCTCCGAATCCGCCTGTGTTTGTTACGGCAGGTGCTCACCAACGGCCCGTGCTCCAACTCTATTTACCAGCCACGTTCGACGAATGGTTAGCTGAAGCGGACACACCCAAGGCCCCCGATGCACGCATCGAAGCTCCGGCGCCTGCACCACGGTGGGGACAACCAGAAGCCTGCGCGTGGGATGAGTCGGCTGTGGGCGCCGACGATGATGTGGCCGCCGACAAACATGACAGCGGCGCCGGCGAAGCTGGAGGCGACGATGAAGCTGGTGGCGACGGTGCAGCGGGCGATGAGGAAGACGTGTTCCCCGACCGTGACACAACTGCCGAGGACGAGGACGGTGTGGAGTCCTGGTGGCGCGACGCACCACGCGCGAAGATGCCGATACCGACGTATCCGCCCCTTAACAAGAAACGCCCCCACCCGTCTACCGAGAATCGAGATGCCCGCCCCCCCTCCCCCAGGCACAAGCAGAGTCAACATAAGCGGCAGTCCTACACCGCCCAGGAGAAGTTGAGGTGGCTCGTGCGGCTCGAGCTTGCGGCTTCGGTGAGCGAAGTGGCGCGGGAGTCAGGCATACACAAAAAATGTCTGACAGAATGGAAAGCCCAAGCGGAGGCGCTCAAGGCTGCACACGGAGCACGGATGCGACTTCACGGGCGCGAGAGGGCGTCTTGGTACCGCCCCATGAAGTTAAAGGTGTACGCGCAACTCCTCAACTGGCAACGCCGCGGAGTTGCGGTTTTGGTCGGCCGGCTGCAAGAGTGGTCCAAAGAAGTGATGAAGGTTCTCTACCCGGACGTCAAGTGGAAAGGCAGTCAGCGGTGGACGGAGCGGTTCCGCAAGCGGTGGAACCTCACCATGTGCATGAAAACAAAGGTGGCACAGAAAACACTGGAGCGTAAGTGGGTCGTCTACTGCTGATTTTGATTTATCCCGATTATGCTTAGTTTCTTTTTCGCATGTCTCCTGTGCGTGATACTAATTTGGTTGACTATGTGTACTTATCTCGCTGTTCCACAGACGTGGCTGAGCAGTGCAAGGATTTCTGGCAGTACGTACGTGACGCCCGGAATGAATACGA